GTAAACATTGTCTGTGTGTGTGTGTGTGTGTGTGTGTGTGTGTGTGTGTATGTGTGTGTGTATGTGTGTGTGTGTGTGTGTGTGTGTGTGTGTTTCTGGTGTTGTCCAGCTGATGGCAGTAATCTCTCTGAGGTGTTGTGTAGGGTNTAAATCTCTCGTCAACACACTTGTGATGGAAGTTCGGATCATTTTACTGACTCGTGTTCTCCCCGTGTTTCTGTGTGGAGTTTGCATGTTCTCCCCGTGTTGGTGTGGGTTTCCTCCGGGTGCTCCGGTTTCCCCCACAGTCCAAACACATGCGCTATAAGAGAACTGATCAACTACACTGGCCGTAGTGTATGAGTGTGTGTGTGAATGAGTGTGTATGGGTGTTTCCCTGTACTGGGTTGCAGCAGGAAGGGCATCCGCTGTTGTGCTGGATAAGTTGGCGGTTCATTCCGCTGTGGTGAGCCTGATTATTAAGGGCACTGAGCTGAAGTGAGTTCTGAATGATGCTGGTTCAGTGTGTGTTGGATTATTGCTGTCGCTGTATTCGTCACGGGTGTATGACACACACTTCTGTCCAGCAGGGGGCAGGACTGCACTTGCGTCTGTTTCCTGTCACCAATAAACAGACTGAAGCACCAAAACACTGGAGGCCGGCTGCTGTCAGAATATCAGTAGAACAGCAGTCCAGAGGAGATATACGTGTGTGTGTGTCTGTGTGTGTGTGTGTGTGTGTGTGTTCAGTGTGTGTGTGTGTGTTCAGTGTGTGTGTGTGTGTTCAGTGTTTGTGTGTGTGTTCAGTGTGTGTGTGTGTTCAGTGTGTGTGTGTGTTCAGTGTGTTTGTGTGAGAGTTATTTAGTTTAGGCATTGGGGCTGTATATCAGTATAGGTGTGTCTGCATGCAGTGAGTTTGTGTGTGTGTGTGTGTGTGTGTGTGTGTGTGTTCAGTGTGTGTGTGTGTTCAGTGTGTGTGTGTGTTCAGTGTGTGTGTGTGTGTTCAGTGTGTGTGTGTGAGAGTTATTTAGTTTAGGCATTGGGGCTGTATATCAGTATAGGTGTGTCTGCATGCAGTGAGTTTGTGTGTGTGTGTGTGTGTGTGTGTGTGTGTGTATAG